TACATTGGCAATGTTTGCTTGGGTATTGTCATGCTGTAAGAGAGCATGACTTCGAATGACCAATTCCAGGTAGAGAGCTTTCAAAGTCACTGCAGTTATGTGAGTATAAAGTTCAGCATTCACAACATGACCATCTGGGACAAACCACCAAACACACAACATAACCTTCTGTTCAAACCATACTTGTTTGACAACTGGCTCCAATATGTGGCTAGAATGAAACCACTGTTTTCTCTTATTAGGATTATGAAAATAAATCCATTTTTTATCCCTGTTTATAATTCAGTGCCAGAATCAGGAATCTTGACTATTTACCAGCAGTTGTTTGCAAATGTTCACACATTGTTGAGTCTGGTCATTGATCAGTTCATGAACAATTTCTTGACAGCATCTGTTCATAAAGCCAAGTTTATGGCACTGTTGATTGATGGTGCTTTGTGAAGGATCTAGTTCTGCCAACAATGTATGAGTACTTGTGTTTGGCTGTTGTTCAACCATTTCAAGCAAAGCTTCATTGTTCACAACAGAAGGTATCCCAGACCTTGGTTTGTCTTTGAGGCTGGTATCACCTTCCTTGAAATGTCTGAACCAGTTTTGCACCACATGTTTGTTGACAGTTCCTGGGTCTTCCACATCATTATCCTTTTTCTACTTTTCTTGCATTCACTGCTTTTTCCACAGGTCACATAAAAATGGCTCTAATTGCAATCTTTTCAATAGTTATTTCAAAGCTGTAAAATAAAGAATAAACAATTAATGTTTATATTTGAAAATAAAGAATAAACACCTACAATTGAAAAATTAATGATATAACTTGTATCTAGAAGTTATCAAAAATGTTAATTGCTCAGATGAGCTCTTCATTATGGTATCTAAGCATAAAGTCTAGGTACTCATAGTGAAGTGACAAGGTCTCATCAATTTATAGTTGAGTTAACTAGATGTAACCATAAGTTTTATTGCACTTGCTTGTGGAACTCTCTTTCCAGCTAACTTTAATCTTAAAAAATTTAAATGCAGTGCCAATCATTATCCACTTTCTGCTTCCCTTTTATTGTTTCTGCTCCTTAGTAATGTTTCTGTTTTCTAATTCTTTCACACCCAGTAATCCCTTGTGTCTTTGTGACTTTACTGTCTTCCTTGAGGTGAACTCAATTTAAAAAAAATAAACCTCATTCTAACCTAAAATGAACTGGGTTGAAATTGAACTCTTCAGAGAATCAAAATTGTCTTTTCAGCCCAAATCCAAATGCCACTTTAAATCAGTACCCTTCACATGACACAAGTATGTAACAGACACCCAGCTTTTGCCAAATTTTGTTGGAGAGAGTCACCGCCTTTATATTCTGATTTTGATTTTAAGCTGATGCTTAAAGAACAAAATCAACTGGGAAGATAAGAACATCATAAGTGCATGAAATTCTTGCTATTGTTCAAATCCTGACTCTCATAATGCCAATTAATCATAATGTAACTTTTTTGAGCAATGTCACTAAAATTCTACGAAAAGTACTGACCTCCAAACTAAAAAAAAAACTGTTACATTGTTATTGCTGGAAAAAGTAATTTCATATCAACCTGGCAGTGTTGGATACTATCCTGAAAAGTATCAATTTAGGAGTACAGTGGGGCATAACTGGGTGATATATCTTTATGGACTCTGTATATGTGCGTCAGTGGATATCTGACATGCTCACTGGAAAAGCCAGATTATATATGTTCGTGGCAAGTAACATACTGATTTGAAGACAGCTTAGCATTCTTGAAAAGTTGGTCTTAGAATACAAATTAAAGACCATCAAATAAAATTAACTGAATTTATGTCATTTACAAGTTTTAAAAAAATTAGTTGAATATAATCAATCATAAACAAAAATACATATAGACATGTTTGCCTAACAAAGAGCAGGCATTTTTCTTCCCACCCATGTATATAATTTCACTATATGTAAAACAGCATCAATATAAATGATTGGGGATGATAGAATCTTCATTTGCATATAATTAAATTAAAATATCAATGACATATATGACTTTATATTATTATTGTTTAATTCAAAGTGTAAACAGAAACTGGTTTAAAAACTTAAGACCCTTTCACTGCTGAAATTGATAAATGAAGGCATCTCTTCTGCTCCAATAGCTTCATGTCTCGCACTTCTCACCTGTGGAACTCCCTCCCCATTTCTTGTTTTCCTGATAGATATAATCCCCAACTGTTCAAATGTAATGTCAATTGACATCTCCAGATGCCCTGATCTATCCCCCTAACTTTCTCTTCTTCATCCTTTCCTTTATCACTCCTCATTGCTCTCGCTCCAACTCTCTGTAACCCCTTGCGTGCTAGTGGCTTCCCGCCTTGCTTGGGGTGGAATTGCTTAAAAAAAAGAAAGAAATGGTATTGGCCAATTAATTGGCATGTTATGTGTTGGGTATTTTGAGCACTTTGATGTGGGGTAATGCTTAGGAAGCTGGTCTCGCTAGGTCAGTTACTATTAAGTAGTGAATTTGATCCTCGCTAGATGCTCCTTACTTTCAGCCTTGTGCAGTATCTAAGATTTGCTTAGTGAATTACTATATGTTGGATATTTAACATTCTTGTATTAAAGCAGTTTTAAAAAATGATTTATTACTAATAAAAGGATGGTAAAACTCATCATCTATCTATAGAATAAATGTCATTGTATCATACTTTTTCAACTTTACTCCTAGAGGCCATAACCCAACATATACCCTTGGAATTTTTGGAATTAAGCTGACACCATGAGCAAATTAAAAACATTCCAGGCCGGATCTGGACCCACAATCCTGAAATTTTGGATTCCCAAGTTTTCATTATTGTGATTGTTTTCACCTTTATTTTTACGTTATTTTTGTGACATAACAATTTTTATAACTTGGAAATAAATTCAGGAATAATTGAAATTAATTGTGAAATCCAGCAAAAGTCACCAATGAAATAAAAATAATTGTTTGTATGGAAAGTAAGAACCTACCTACATCAAATTGTCTTTAAATTAAGTTGCAACAGAAGAATTATCATTGAACTTTTAAGAGGTAAACTTAAATATTAATGCAATACTTAAATGCAGTGATCAATTTTGAGTTCTGTAATTTATTGTTAATTATTGCATCTACTCCTCCCTACCTATTGTCCAATCAAGAGTCCTCTGCAAGAGCTAGTTTAAATGCCACCAAATAGGGCAGCATTTAAGCTGGTTTAATAATATAATCTTCTATCCAAAGTTATTTGAAACTGTCGTCAACAATATCATCTTTCACTGATATCAGATTTTATTATGTAAGTCAATCTTTTCATTATAAAATGCTGAGGTTGATAAAATTTTCAGGATATATTTATACTAACACTATCATGTGAATTTCAGCTTATAATATCTATCCTTATTCAAAATATTGATACCAACTTGTTTTGAAAGTGTCAGAATTTATTATGCAAACTAAGTACAGCATATTTTTTTTATTTATAAATAAATTGAAAAATATAGAACAGAAGCAAGTATTTGATATCCTGTACACCTGAATAAATTATTATTTTACATCTTAATATAGGCTCTTTGCTTTCCTATAACCTTCATCACTCTTTCAACAATTGATTTTTATAAACTTTTCTAATGTTTCTACTTTTACCTGCATTTTTTTATTGTTTCCTAGATAACTTCTTTGTTGAATATTATTATTATTATATATATATATATATATATACATATATATATATATATATATATATATATATATATATATATATATATATATATATATATATATATATCTTTTAATGAAAGACTACAAATTTTCCACACTATTAATATCTAGAAAGTTGGCATTCCCATAGTTTGGTGTTTTTAAAACATTTTTTGCAAAGTGGGCAATAGTGAGTTTTGCAAAATAAGAAGCAGTATAGTCTTGCATAAATATATGCATTAACCTAGAGCTTCTTGAGTTGTGACCTCTACCACTGAAAAATATCTTACCTAAGAACTTGGAATAATTTGCTACATTTATCTAGAAACTATCAAGTAGTATTTATTACATACAGTATTAGTCCTAGAGAATTGTCTACTACTTCTGCTCCCCACTCTTTTAAGTCTTGTTGACTATTTCCATGAAGACACCAACCTCTATCCTAGCTATTAATTCCATGCAATGTAACTATATTCATCACTAAAAATTACTCTTGAGAAATTGTAGTGTACAGTTACAAAGAAGTAAATGAGTCAGAGTAAAGTAAATGAATCATTGATTGCAGACCTTCTTGGTTTGCGATATGGTAACCACTACATCGACAAGATTCTACCAGTGTAGTTTGCCAGTTGGAGTCAATTTTTTTATGAATGGGATACTCTACTTGAAACATTGACCGACAATGACACAGCATTCACGTGCAAACATTTCATGCACTTTTTGAGTAATTGGGGCATATGTTTGCAGATTTGATGCATCTATGCACCTCCTGGGAATGGCATAGTAGAAAGATGTCACCATTATAGTTAAAAAGCAGTGCTCTATACCAGAGGTGGTCTGCTGGTATAACATCACACTTAAAGATAACCACTCACCTACTACAGCATTGGCTGATGCACTTCATAGGTACCATACCCAAATATGAAGCATCAATGCTACACTTTCTACTGAACTTCAGGATACTCGAGGAGCATACAAATTAGGAGACATCATTTGGGTTAAAACTCCTCACAGAATGTGTATGACTAAGTTTAGAATAATTCATGTGACTCAGGTTAATAGTCTACAGCCAGTACACATCGATGAAGTTCCACATCATGTGAAGTTTTAAGAAAATGCATATTTTAAAAAAATCCCTCATATTCTTCATATTTAAAAATTCTTTAAACATTTCTTTTATGGTTTTTTTCATTTCAGATCGCAAGTTCCTGATTGCTAATGCTCAGGTTGAAAATATCCCCATCATTTTTTGTAATGATGGCTTTTGCGAGTTAACAGGATATTCACGGGCAGAAGTTATGCAGAAATCCTGTCTGTGTGATTTTCTACATGGCCCGTTAACAAATGCCTACGCCATTGTACAAATCAAGGAGGCATTACAGGGATCCGAGGAAAAGCAAGTGGAAATTTTATATTACAAGAAGGATGGTAAGTTTTCATATTTTTCACATTAACTTGCTTAAAATACTAATATTTTGTTTATCAGGATTAATGTTGCTTGTTGAAAGTGTTATAAAATAAAATAAGACATATCTCGGCTGATTTACAGGCAAATACTCAAGAGCAAGAACTGGATGTAAACGGGACAAAGCCCCGTCACGAAATGACCATTATCTTTCTTCACAAATGTTTCCGACACACGTGTTTCGGTCGAAAAATAAAATAATATTTAAAGTGCTCTATTTTTCGTCCAATAAAAATGCTTCCCTCCTAATTATACTCGCTTCGTTTCTCAAGCCTGTTAAGCCATAAAAAAATGCTATAAAAGGGATCACAGGGAAGTTCAACAGTCAGTCAACAGGTGCCCAGGATAGAGACCGGTCACGTTCAGCAGCTGTCAGCAGGAGAGCGTCAACCACCGTCAACATGTGTGAACTACTATGAGAGATGGACCAGATCCGAAAGCCAGCTTATGAACTTTACCACACCAAGGTAGCTGTCCCAAACCCTCACGTTCCTGTTGAAATAAACCACGTAAATCTATTTCTACTGTTGTCGTATTTCTTTCTTGCAACCATACGCTTGTCTATAACACATGTAAGATGCTGATTGTCTCAAATCCATGTCTAATAAGATATACTGTTTGTAAGCTGTTGTCAGATAAAAATGTTATTTTCAAGTAGCCTTTATCTCATTTGGTAAGACAATATTGTTTTAATAAAAGTGTCCCATATAAATTTGTCACAGGCTTGTTCTGCTGTCAATGTCTTGAAGCCACAGTTTTATTTTTAAACATTTCTTCTAAAATGTCAACAGCATAGTCCTTGCAAGTAGAAATATTTGCATAAATCTGCATGGAGTAATAATAATAATAGAGTAAGCTTTTCGACCTATAATATTCTCATTGATGATGAACTGTCTAGAGCTGAGAAAGCTGTGAAAAGGTTTCCAATTGTAGCAACTATCATTAGTATCTGAGTCAGAAATATCTACATCTAAGCATTCAGGTTTCAGATACTTGGCCATAATTGCTTCGAATAAATTTTAAAGAAAATGTAACAGAAAATCGGGTCAACCTGATAAGACTACAAGTTGGTTGCATGCAGTGCTGTAAGCACCAGGAGTTGCATTCTCTTCCACAATGAGCTGTTGAGAGAAGACATTCTATTTACAGTAGATGGCACTGACTATTTGCATATAAATGATACTGGGCAGGGATTAGCCAATAGTCAGCATATGTCTGGGAATGGGAGAGAGAGCTATGTAACACAAGTTTTTTCTCAGTTGAAAGGAGTGTTCTCAATGTATGGACATGCTGAAGTGTATAGTGAAGCTTTAATCTGCACATTTATAAGAAATTTTGTAAGAAAATGATGATTAATTGTTATAATTTGTGGAGAAAAATTATGCATTTCAATATTACTCAATGATCTTGCCAATGTGACCTCCATCTTCTGGTTTTCTCCTTCTATATTTTGGATAGCAGTCATTCCCTTGTTCAATTTTAAATTTAATTTAAATCAAGTGAAAAAAAATTTCAGTGTGTGTATGTGAGGGGTCTACATCCTGGGAATCCCATTTGATAAAAATGAAATATATTTATCCAAGAACCCTCAGAGTCATTCTCTCATTCAAATTTAAATTTAATTTATATCAAAATGAAAAAAAATTTCAGTGGGTGGTGGGTGCCCCCCAGAGATCCCCTTTGATCAAAATGAAATATACTTATTCAAGTATCCTGGGTAATGTAGTTTCAGAATATATATGGTTATAGGGGCCTATCTCCAAAAACCTAGGAGGAGTTTGATAACAAACAAACCAATGACAGCTACAACTTTATACATATAGAGATTCCATGAACTCTTATCCAAATTTACACATTTGCAAATTTACTCAGTGCAAAATGTTTCTCAATATAATATTTGATCTTTTCTGGTTTCAGTGTTTCATGTATAAAAAAAAATTGGCTGTACTAATTTTTTTTATTATTATTTAAAAGAATTTAATGAATTTAAAAAGTTTTAAATTTACTCATATTTATTAGTGCAAATTTAGGTCAAGACTTTAATCAAGACAATATCTTTTCAGACTAATTTTTCAGACTCATTTAAAAAAAAACAAGCAAAAATTTGTAGTCTGCAAAGAATGTTTGGCTCACTTGACTGGCTGATGCTCCATCTCAAAGAAAAACCTTTCTGTAATAGATAATATAGAAAACCCAGCTTATCTACAACATTGAGGACATATCAGGCACAAACTGGAATAAACCCAGTATAGCCTTAGTTCTATCACATTACAAAGGATTAATGCATCCTAGATGGTACAGATTTTTTTCTTCTGTAAGATGCAAGCCTTCAGTGTCAGTCCAATTACACAGGTAGGTGATGGACAGCACCATAAATTTACACTTGTCCAGGTGAATGTGTATTCCAGATTATGAGAGTTTTTTTCACTCTGTCATGGTTGGTAAAAATGTTCAGAATCTGATGCTCCTGATATCAATATATAATCCTGATAGCAGGTAATATGCAGTTCATTTTCAAATAGATTGTCCCTACATTACTTGTACATTTGGCAGGGGTTCACTTGCTGGCTCAAGGGAGTAGGTAGCAGCACAGTAGCTCCTTTTCCCTGACAGCAATATCTCCTAACTCACCACAACTGTAACAGATTATGCCTTGCTGAGATGGTGCTTTACTATCTCTGATCATGTAAGGGCCCTTACACCTAAAGCACTGGCTGATGAATTTCTCAGGTTGCACTGGACCTTGTTTTGTCGTTGCTACTTCACCCAGTTCATGTGCTCTATTAACAGCCAAGACTCTTGTGCTCATTAGCAAATTGCTCATTAACATGTTTTCAGCACCATGCAGTTGCTGAAGAGCTGTTAATATGTCACTCAGAAATCCATTAACAAATATCAGTTTAATGACCTGTTCAAAACTCCTCCTGACAAGTCCTTCTAATCCAGCAAACCATGTCATCAACAGTGAATGCACATCCATCATACTGGTACACAGTGAAAATTTATCTTCCATCTTGTTGCTGACTGCCAAAATAGCCTCTAATCTTGGTTCAAGAATGGAAGAATCAAACTCACCATCAGTGCCTTTATCCTTGTTCAGAACAGAGAAGGGATGTACCTTTGCTCCAGCCCTTTTGCTAAATCTGTCAAATCCAATTAGACATTGTAACTTTCTCCTCTTTTTCCACTTACCTCTTGTCTGTTTCATAAGCTCTCCCAAAATCCTATCTTCTCATGTCAACAGACTCCCACCTCTACAAAGCACCTTCCTTCCTCGTTTCGGCTTTTTATTAAAGTTGCCTGTTTACCCATAATTCATATGGTCTTCTTCAATTAGTATTTAATCTAACATAGTTCAGTTAACACATTTTTTCTATTTCCTTTTACCAGGCAAGTAAAAAAGATTCTTTCTAACCAACGCCTTTATCCACTGTGCCATGTGTCCTTGAGGACACATGGCACAGTGGTTAGATGTCTGTTAGATGTCTGTCACTGAATCTAACCAATGCCTTTATCCACTGTGCCATGTGTCCTTGAGGACACATGGCACAGTGGTTAGATCCAGTGAGAGACCCAAAGAAGGTGAGTTCAATACCTGGTTAAGGCAGTGGAGAACTTTCAGAGGGAAAATTAGCTGACATCCATCAAACATTGCACGTGGAACTAGAACAGTCTACCCCAGTGATCGAAATAAAGGGTTCAGTTCGAAATTCCAACCACCTGAAGAAGGCCGGAGCATACAACGGCCGAAACGTTGCGACAAATATGGCGACAAAGATGAGGACAATAGTCTGACTAATGTAAATACTGTACATAATACTCAGAAATATAGACAGACAGAGAAGAAATGAAAAAAAAATGTGATTAGAACTACAGGCTCTCATGGTATGGTTGTGCTGTATTTTACAGCAAACTTATTGAGAACCAAATAGTTATCTTTAAGGATGGATTACAAAAGTTCATGTTGAGAATTGTGTCTTTTGTGTGTGTGTGTGTGTGTGTGTGTGTGTGTGTGTGTGTGTGTGTGTGTGTGTGTGTGTGTGTGTGTGACAAACAAAGAGTAAGAGTTGATGAATTTTTCATGTGAGGATTTGAAAAAATGCTAAAAAAATATGCTCACTGATATGAAATGTGATCTCATTCTCATGTTGTATTTCTGATAGAAAAACAAAACAAAAACACCAGTTTTTAATAGTTTTGCTTATTTCTGTGTTCTTTTGTTTTCTCATTCATGGAAACAATTTTCTGTCAGTGTTTTTATCAATCAGTGACAATAAAAGTTTTTATTAAGTTTGTACACGAAGATAGATCAATAATATTGATAATAAGTCTGATAGGCTGAATTTTGATCTTGTATTTTCACTAATGTTCAGTCAATATGATGAATATTTACCACTGAATTAAGTGCACTGATTATGTTGAAAAATATGTTGTATAAATTGTAGTGGAAACACAGGCCTGTGATATTTTAATTAGACGTGCCTGCTAACAATTTAAAAATAAAACTCAATGATTTGACAGGTATTACGCTAATTTCTGCACCGGTATCAGCAAGAAATTTTAACTTATTGTTGTCCCATACATAAAATAGGTAACAAGGATTATCTTTACTAGCAAGGTCTGTTGCTCCTACTTGTTGGTTGTCTCTTTAATCTCATATTCTCTAACAGTAACCTTTAGTGGTTTTATTGCCTTGCTTGTGATGAAATGATTACAAATAACTGATCCTAATTAAATGTAATTTTTTATATCAAAAAACAAAATTTGTCCCAGAATCAAGGCTATAATTTCCCCTGAGGTAAGATTCATTCATTCCACTGTTTTTATTAGATTATCTAACTGTATAAGCTGACTTCTTTATTTTCTGCTAGTTTTCCATATTTACGTTTTCCAGGTTGGACTACGTTTTAAAATCAAAAGAAAATGTTTTTGAAAATGATGAATCATTAGATAGAATATTTATGAACATTCAACATTAGATTAAGACATGAATAAAGCAGAAAAATGCAAACTTTTAATAATGTTTAAGGCTTGTAAAAGTATTGACAAACGTAAAAATGTATGAAAGTTATTCTAGATTCAAAGGAGTTATCTTCTGATTTTTACTAGTAATTTTCTCTTTTACAATAAATTTGTTTCCTTATTTTATTAATGAAAAATAGTTAATAATAAATGTTGGAAGTTTTTCAAAAAATTAATTTATTCTTTATATTTCATTTCTTTTATATTCTCTTTTTCTTTGCAGGTAGCAAATTCTTGGCTAGTATACTTGTGGCACCAGTTAAAAATGAACATGGTGATATTATTATGTTCATTATCAATTTTGAAGATATTACTGATGCACCATCCAAAACAGAATTTAAGAACTTTAAAATTAGTAAGTAACAAAAAAAAAACATTTTTTTCAGTATTATAATGAGAATTTTATTTTGGTTAATATCAAAGTGAATAGTTTGTGTTCTGAATGAAGATGTATGAAATTTCAATAAATTATCTTTCTTTTACTGCATTTGCTTTCAGCAATCCATGATTTTTGTTTATTCTTCAGTACATCACAAAATTAAGAAAGACTTATTACCAATCAAAATAAAATTACAATGAGTACATTAACTAGATGAGCTTCAAAAATATATTTTCAGGGTTTGTACAGATCCTGGAAACCTTGAAAAGTTATGAAAAATTGACAGGGCCTTTTCAAGCCTGGAAAAACAGCAATAGCCCAAAAGAATCATTGAAAAGTCCTGGAATTTTCTAAATTGGGCTGCTCATACATCCTTTTTCACAATTCAAAAAAATCAAAATGCAAAATCCCAGAAATCTGGTTATTTTACAAGCTAAAATTGTCCATTAAAAAAAATGTTTATTAAGTAATATTTGGCAATTATTGCGAATAGTAGTTTGTTTCCTTGATTAGAACAAGTTCATAACCTAAGTGGAATAACTGCATTTAATCAATAGCTGCATCTGCTGCAAGGAAAGTTGGCTTACTGTGTCATGTCAGAAAGTTTTTCTCATCAGAGTCCATCTTACATATCTACAAATCTACCATTTGTCCATGCATTGAGTACTGTTGCCATATCTAGTCTGGTGCCCCAGCTGTTCATCTCAAGGTTCTTGACAAAATCCAAAGAAGGATCTGCAATGTAATCAATCCTGACTTGGCATCTTAACTCCAGTCACTTTCTCACAGATGTAATGTGGCTTCTCTCTGTCTTTTCTATACATGGCAACTGTTCTGTCAAGCTTTTTTCCCTGATGCCTCAACTACATAAGTTTAAGTGTGCTTCTAGATTAGCATCTTGGTCCCACCCATTTACCATTGAAATAGTTAAATGTAACTGCCACTTCTACTCTAACAGCTTCTTTTCTTTCATTTCCCACCTGTGGAACTCCCTTCCATTTACTTGCATCCCTGATAACTACAATCTTCAAAAATTTAAATGTATCATCAATTGCCATTTTCTGATATGTTGGACCCCATTTGTCTTTTACCCTTTTCTCATTTCCCCTTATACCCAGTTTTTTTCTGTCACCTTCACTCTATGTAAACCCCTGCAAACCAGTGGCACTCTTGCCTTGCTTGTGGTGAAATGCTTAAAAGAAAAGTTACTTCTGTATTTTCTTGTCTAGGTGACAAGAAAGAAATGGAAAAATAATATAAAGGTGTGCCTTCTAGCTGCTCAACAAGAAACGAGGCAACACAAAGACAAAAAGGCATCAGAGAGACACAAGTAAATATCTCCGTCAAAGATAAATTGTGAAAATTTATCAGTGTTTTTTAAAATTTGAACAGTTGAAGAAATTATATTAACATTCAATTTCAAAAATAAAATGACCTTTTGATCTCTATTCAGCTGGTGAGTAAGTTCATGCTGAAAAAGTAGATACTTTACATACACTTGGCTAAATTAGGTACCTCCACTGAAAAAGCAGCATAGCATGATGAAAAAAGACCCCAAACTTTATAAAAGTAAAGTTTTATCACCAAATATTTATTATTAAGAGGAAAGACCAAAGTATTTTTTATTAAATTTTTTACTCCTTTCTAGTATGTTCAAAAATTTTGGTTAAAAAGCTTGTTTTTTTTTTGTTTGTTTCTTTTTTGAGTCAGCGGTCAACATAATATTTATGATTAGTGTTTTATTTTGCATTACTTTCATCCAGTTATCTGATGATATTGCTATTAAGTGAAAACATTATGTCAAGCCCTATCAACGCCTCATCAATTACATAAAACATGGCAATGCTAGTTAAAAAAAAAATAACTACTGTTTTGTTTTAAAAATACTTTTCTATATTATTTTAAACTTAAAGTAAATATTTTTTCAAAATCAGATTAATTATACTTTAAATCAGGTAATATTCCTCAAATAAAGTTTCAGAAAGTATTTTTTTTTTTTTGGAAGATTTTTTAATACAGAAAATAACAGACTGTCCATCTCTGCAATACTGTTAAATGTAAATGACATTTAATTTCCAGTGAAACTGCAGATTTTTGTCTGTTTCAAAAGACCTTGAACCATTTCTGATAAAATACCAGAGCAATCTCCTTGCAGATGATCTTTTTAGCATGATCATGAAACTGTTAAGATTTGTAAAGGAAGAGCACACTAAAAAGATAATTACATTTTCCAAACTGAATGAATTTGTAAGAATTTTGTCAAATATGCATAAAGATGTTAAAAAAATCGAGTGTGGATTTCTGGTAGACAGGCCTATGCAAAGTTTATCCAAAAAATGCAAACATGTGTCAACAAAATATCTGTTTCCATGTAGAATTGCAACAATGTTCATCACCATCACTGAGAAACTTCTGGCAAATTCTCCCCTTTAATACTTTCTTGCATGGTTGAACCCTGGATTCATTTGTGAAAACGAATCTGCCACAGAAGACAGTCTAAAAATATGTCTTTTCTACATGATGGACAGAAAACAAGTCAGCAACTCTGATTGTGATGACATCATCAGTCAGTACAAAGTATACGAGAAGGAGACTGTTGGAAATATTGCTTTCAAGAATTTCAGCAAGCATGTGGCTTGCTGAAATTCTTGGTTTGGACACTTTGTTCTACTCTTCTTTGTCTAGCAACAAATAATATTAAAAACTGGAAAGTTGTTTGCAGATTGCTGGTACTCTTTCATGGACAGGCCTCAGTTGAGAGAGGTTTCTCAGTCAATAAGGAAATTTCCACTGATAAAATGACACAGCAAACTCTGGTTACACGGTGCATTATCATGGATTATTTGGTCAGATTTGGAGGTGCTGAGAATGTTTCTATGACTAAAGGCTGTGCTTCCAATGCCAGAACAGCATACAACCAATACCTTGAGGCTTAGAAGAAAAAAGGCAGGAAGAAGCAGCTGCATAAAAATGGAAATCCATGCTTATGGAAACTTGAAAGTTGCATGCAAGATTTGCTCAATTCAGCTGACAGCTATGCAGAAAAAGCTGAGCAGACTCAGAACTTCACACTTATTACAAAGTTCAATATCATGCAAAAATTTGCAAAGAACAAAACTGAAAAAATGTTAACATCATTGTTCTGTGCCATGTGTAATGAAAGCTATGAGTTGTTGGGGTAGCTAAAATGTGCAGTCTTTTTGTGAAAATTTCTATTTGTACTTCTATTCATTAAAATCATTATGCTGTGCAACATATCAAGAATTTTTGATACATTTACAAACTATGAGTAGTCTAGATAGCATAAAGGTGTAGCAGTAAGAATTAAAGTGTGTAATTCAAAATTTTCAAGTGGAATAAAACTCCAAACTGTAGAATGCTACAGAAAATGTGTAACATAACCAGATCTGTATTCAGTTGTCTTTTAGCTTTCAACACTTGGATTTCTTCACTGCTCACATATGAATTATTGGAACCAACTGTAGCTTTTCTTTGAACACCTCATCTGTCAAACTTTTAAAAGTTAAATCACAAAGTTTGTGTTTTTGAAATTGATGACCATTCACTTTGTGTTTGTGCATGTGTGTTGTGTCAGTTTCAGTACTTGAAACTTCTTAACATAGTACTGGAAAAGTCCTGGAATTTTTTCACACAGATCTGTGGGGGAACCCTGTAATTAGTAAAAGTTCATTAACAACAGTCTTTGTAACACAAGAGATTTCATATTTTTTATATACAAGAATGCTTACAGGTTCTTGGTAAGTAATGAAATTCATACTACATGGATTTATACTAATGTTTGGTGCTTCCTTTAGTTCTCGAACCTTTTAGTGATACTCTATTATTTGTGTCTCATTTTGGAAGGATGAATGTTCTCTTTTCATTATCCAAATAACGTTAACTATGCCAGACTTTTCTACTTCATTCACAGAACATCAAACTGTACAGAACAATATACTTTTATAATGTTCCTTGTGCCTTTCAGCAATCAGCTAGTTTCTCCATTATATTCTCTTCTACATTTGCATGGGATGTTGTATATGTAGACTTTTATTATACACACTTTTTGTAAAGGACCAACTTTAGTAATAGTTGTGAAAAATGGTTGATGTTATAATGTTCACAAATACTTTGAATTCATTCAGTCACTCTTCTTACACATATTAGGTGTACTGTAGATTCATAGTTGATGTCTGTGGAATTTGTTTTCTTGTTCCTCATCTTGGAAATTATATAGTTATTTTGGAGAATCCTGTTTATAAACTTGAATCCTTCCTTTAGATTTTCAGGATCATTGATGATGGACTTTGCCTGATATTGAAGGCATCAAACTATCCTTTAGCTGAAAAGTTATGGTTTAAATTAAAATTCCAATTTAACCTTGTGTGTTGTATATTCACAAATACCAAAATCATTCTAGGTGAGTTTGTTATACTTTATTCTATCATGAACTGTGCAGATGATCAAATTAAGTTTATGATTTAATAGTGGTGTGTCTAGTGTCATCCCGTACAGATTGAAGGTTTCAATGGAGTAGAACTTAAGGCTACTTCTTTAAAGGACACTATTTAGTTGTTAGAAATCACAAAGGAAAGTGGAACTTCATTGTTAGGCCTTCATCTAATCAATATATATTGGACCATAATATTAAGATGTTTACAGAAATGTTGGCATGATTCTAAAAAGAAAGATTTTTCAGTTTGTTTCACAAGGAAATTAAAGACTCCATCATTAGTTCTTTATAGATGTTACAAAAATATTTTCAGTCATAGCTTAACAAGTGACCATTTGTCCCTGAAAGAAAAAGAAAAACCTTTAAAATAGTGATTGCTACCGTTATGTGACCTATAACTTGCCCAAACACTTTCAAAAAGTGTTCATATTATATATTGATGTAAAGGAAATTTAATTCTGATTAACTTTTACAAATGGATTAAGGTAATAAATGCATAGTTTTTTTAATTATTTAGTATTTC